TGAACTTTCAGTCAAATCACAACAAAAGGTGGGGAGGGGAAGAGCTTAGTCCAGAACCCAGTCATGTATTTGTTCAATGCCTGAAATTAAAAGTATTTCAAACCTATCAATCCTTTCTGTGTTCAGAATGAGAAGATACTAAGTCAAACTCTGTCTTAAATCATATTTGGATTCTATGCAGTTAAACTACAGCCAAAACATAAAATACTACTCTTTAGAGGTATTCACAGTGAGAAAAAGAACTACTTCTCCTTACATGTCTCTAAATCACTAAACTCACCCTGATTCTTAGTACCTATGTTGGGACTCTAGTTTTTCAACAGCGGAACTATGTCTGCCGTTGTCTAACTTCAGGGATAGATTTCCAGTTTGTTGTTTTGTTGTTTCTTTCTTCTTCCTTCTTCTTCCTCTTCTCCTTCTTCTGCTTCTTCTTCTCCTTCTTCTTCTTCTTCTTCTTCTTCCTCTTCTTCTTCTTCCTCCCCCTCCCCTCCCCTCCCCCCCCTCCTCTTCCTATGCTGTTAAATCAGTACCGACCCAAAGCTGACCCTCCCGGGGGTTTTCAGAGGCAGTAGATTGCACAGGAGGGAACTGTCCATCTTCTCCAGTGGAGCAGCTGGTGGAACATTTCCCTGGGAGACTGCAGTGCAGCTTCCTACCGCTAGGCCACTGTTGTTGTTGTTGTTGCTGCTGCTGTTGAGTTCCATCAGCTGGAACTGAGCCATAGCTGACCCTCCAGCAGGTTTTCAGGAGCAATTAATCATGGAAAGAGATTGTCCATCCTACTTCTACAGAGCAGCTGGTGGATTCGAACCACCAGTGCCTTTGGGATTGCAGCATAGTTTCTTACCTCGAGGCCACCAGAGCTCCACTAGGCCACTAAAGCCCCATTTTTTTCCCTTAGTAACAGAAAGTCTTTAAAATGACATGTTTTTCCAATCAAATGATATTAATCTAACACATTTTACGGATTCTCCTCAGTATGACACATAATGGTAGGCACTGGTAGGGGGAGGACACAAGGATAGGCATCAAGAAGTGGCATTATGTAAGTATAACAGAACACTAAACACAAAGTCTATCATAATTATTTTCATGATTCTTAGCATAGTATATATGCCTAGCATACTAAAGGGTGCTTCAAGTGATTTTTTTACACTAGAACAAAAATAGATTAGATTTGATGCTCTAATTTGTTAAAAGCAGGCTGAAGGTCAGCAAACCTGGTCAGACCATGTAAATGGACTGGGACTTGACCTCCATATGCTTGTTCCATCTTGTGGTGATATTTTTATGCCCTAGAACAATCCCCATTCCAACATGGAGAGAACACTTCCTGCACACCCTTTTCCTCTGACTCTTATCCTGGGGACATGAGATTAGCTGGCTTGTCTGTAGAACAGCCCTGGAGTTAGGATAACAATTCCAAAGTCGGTAAGCCACCAGCAGTGTTCCCTTTGATGTACTCGTCTTGTGCCTGATCTCCGCCCCTGCCAGCCTGCAGCTCTGTGTGCTGCCTGGGACCATGAGCTGTCTTCAGGGTATGAAGACAAGCTTATTTCTCGACCTCCTCCTAAAATGGGGAAAAAAAAACCACAAAAAAACAAACCTGCTTCCATTAGCTCAGTTATTTATAAAAGAGCCCTGGTGCTGTAAGTCAAACGTGTGGTTGTCCACTTGGTTGCAAACTGAAAGGTTAGTAGTTGGAATCCACCCAGCGGCTCCACAAGCTCGAATCCACTCACTCATTCACTGCTTCCGAATCAGTTCTCATTCATACTGACCTTCCAGTGCATTTCCAAGGCTGTAAATCCTTACAGGACAAGTCTTCCCATCTTTATCCCAAGGATCACCCAATGGATTAGAACTGCCAACCTCAAAGTTAGCAGGCTGGCATGTTACTCACTAAGCCACCTAGAAAACCCTATGGGCAGTTTTATTCTGCCATAAGGGATCATTATAAGTAAAAAACAATTCGATGATAACAACCAACAACTGCTACCAAAGGGGAGAAGTTCTCAGACAGGCCCCTAACTGTGCTTCACTGCCTTCCAACCACCTCCCACTTTCTTCTCCTCTCCAAGGCAACACTCTCAACCCTCCCTCTTCCCAGTGCAGAGCAATTCTCCCCATGCTCTGTGTCCTTCTTGGGTCAGACTCTATTCCAAACACTTATCCAATTATTTACAAAAATAAACAAAGCCAGACAGTGCTTCTTAAGGCGTTCCTGTGAACAAAACTGCATTCTGTAAAAATCTGCATTAAAATTTCTTGATGACACCTGGTACATACAGGTACACAAACACATTCCTGCCCCTTACTGATCTCCCGCCCCCACCCTTCAGTCCCTCTCTGAGCATTGATCACACTCCACAATAAATGCTATATAGGATCTGAGAATGCAGAGACAAAACACAGCTCTTGTCTCAAGCAGCTCAGGATCTAACAAGGAGTCAGGCATGCTAAAAACTGACAGCAACATAGAAAAACAGTGGGGAGACGGGAAGGGGGCAAGTGTCTCACGGGAGCTGGCAAAAGTGGGACTTGGGGAAGGGGAAGAAAGACGTAGAGTCTCTACTGAGCAATGAACACCTTCTGTAAACCTGCTGGGGGTCAGTTAAGAGTTGGTGCCAGCTTGATGGCAATGAACTCTACCTAGAAGACAGGGGCATCTGCGCTTGTTTTCAAGCTGATAAACTGGCCATTGACGGAGGAAAGAAAGGGTTGTCCATGTAGAGGCAGCATCCAGTGCAAAGCACTGAAGCGTGTGTTCTTTCTAAGGACATGGAAATGGCTGAGTGTGGCAAAAGCAGCACAAACATGAGCTGAGAGAGCAATGGTGAGGCAGTGAGACGGGTGAGGCACACAGAGAACTGGCCATGAAGAGCCTCATGCCCTGAGAGTGCGGGATGGGAGAGAGTCCACTCCTCAGAGGTGTGGATGATGGAGGAGGGAACAGCAAACTGAGACCAGAAGGTGAATGCAATTTGAAAACAAGTAATACAGATGCAAAGAGAATTTAGCTTTCATTAAAGCAGCATCAAGCTCACACAGAAGATTGGGCACATCATGGCCTGCCTTGGGATGGCCATGAAGGGAAGATAAAGACGAGAGCTTGGAGCCCCCCTATGGAAGCTTTCACCTTGCATTAGAGGTCTTCACCTCCCATCTTCTGCAAGCATCACAAGATATTCCGCCAGGAGTCAAGCCAGCTACAATCCAAGCATTGCCTACAGCTCTTTCATGTAAGCAACACCATCTCTCTTCAGCCAGTGGTTGTAAGCTTAGAAAAAAAGCAATAAAGAATTAAAAGAGCACCAGTGGCCTAGTGGTAAGAAGCTGTGCTGCAATCTCAAAGGCATGCAGTTCAAATCCACCAGCTGCTCCATGGGAGAAGGATGGGAAATCTCCTCCCTTGTGATTTACTGCCTCTGAAAACCCACTGGAGGGTCAGATCTGAGTCGATTCTGACTTGGAGTTGCACCACCACCACCACCACAACAACAACAACAAAGAACTAATGAGCTAGCAAATCAATGCAACAAGCAATTTGGTGGCTTGATGTAGAACTGAAGAGCACTGATAGACCCAAAAAAGAAGTTAATTGCGGCGATCAACCCAAATGCATCCAGACTTCTTTTTTTCTGGAGCAACTGCATAGATGGCGAACTCTATGAATGTAGACAGGCCATGGGGCGCTCTGATGGTGAGTCCATAGGGTGTGTGCGGCCAACCACAGAGATAAGTCACATGAGTGTGACAGGACAGGATCTGTCTGGGGGTGAGGGCAAAGAAAGAATGACACGATGATGACTGAAGGGGCTGGCATGTCAACATGAGGTCCTCTCTTGGGACATCACAGAGAAATCCCTGGATGCATGATTTGAAGTTCCTAGCGAAGAACTGGCCTGTAACAGGAGGGGGCTCCAAGAAGCAAGTCGGAGTTCCACTGAGCAGATGGATGTCCAATAAGCTAGTGTACAGGAGGCGAGGGGACCATTTATAGCATCAAAAACAAATGTTTTCAGATAAGATTCACCAGACTAGAATAACAACAGGTTAATATCTTAGAGAACTGTATCCCTTTTCTTCTTTTGACTGGATTGGCTTTTAATTGTTTGGAGAGATGGGTTTATAAAAGGAAATTGGTCACTATGGAAACAGGTTCTTCAATATCAAACAGGCAGCTTCACTATACACACAAAAAAGGTAATTATTTTCATTTTTTCCCCTTAATCGTATGCTTTCAATAATCACAAACCCTTTTGAAATTTTCCAGAAATTTCCATTGAATGACCCAAAGAACACAGGCAAAAGCACAGGTTTTACAGCTATTCCCTTCAGGTATCAGGGTATCATGGACTCACCGAGAAGTACGACTTTCATACTCTGCAGTTCCTTGGGGTGTAGTAATTATCCAATTTTAGGAGCCAACCTAAATCTACACAAATAGATTCATAAGGTTTCCTCCCTCGTGTCTTTCATAGCTGAATTCCTTTAGTTATGAATGTGTTGATTCCACATCCTTTGCTGATCTTCATTCAGAGGACCTCTGGTGGCCTAGTGGTCAGGAGCTTGCTGTCAACTCAAAGGTCCGTGGTTCGAATCCACCCACAGCTCCACAGGAGAAAGATGGACACTCTCCTCCCTTGCAATTTATTGCCTCTGAAGACTTACTGGAGGGTTAGCCACGTGGTGCCAGGCTTTTTGTTTTCCTGTCACATCATAAATGGGCTTATTCTGATTTTATATCTGATTTATGGAATAATAATCTCTATTCTAAAAAAATAATAATAATCTCTATTCTAGATTGCAGCTAAAATCTAAAGCCATTATCAGTAGGAAAGAAATGAAAAAATGTAGAATTTAAAGACACATATCACACCAAAATGCTAAACAAAGTGCAGGCCATCTCTTAAAATGCAAGTCTCTCCTTGAGTTCATTACTGTAGGTTTTAAAACTGGGGGTACAGTCATATTTCAATCGCTCTTGCTGTACTCACCTTCTCCAGGAAAGCTTGTACCGAGGCTTCCTGGTTCTCCTGATTTGCCTTGTGCCTGTGTCTCCCGACAGAAGAAATTATCTGCGTCTCCTTTTCCAGAAGTTCGCACAGAGCTGCCTTCCTCTCGGCTCCAGTGAAAAGCTGGTCAATGTACTGCTTCTGTTCATGATGCCAGACTAGAAAAACAGTGTGAAATCCTCGTGACTTTTCACGTTCTCACATTTACAGTGTTTGGGGGTCCCCACCCGTCATTTCCCCATCATTGGTAACATTTTAAATAGTATTGAACATAAATAGAATTATATTTATATCTGATTTTTAGGGGAACAAAATGGGAAATGAGAGACTTAAAGCCATGGATGTAGAGTCAAGCAGGAGAAGCCAGGGGTAAAATGATGTCCCCAGAAAGCAAGCTCATTTCCCCAGCAAATCAGCACCTGAAGACCCTCAGAAGCCTGAAACACAAATATCTAGCTTGGGATTGTTGTTATTTACGTTACATTATTATTATTATTATTATTATTATTTTATTTTGAAAGTGACTTTTTTGTGAAAGTTTACAAATCATATTCATTTTCTAGTCACTCAATCATCCATGGACATTTGGTTTTATAACATTAATTACAATTGATTAATTCAATGTAATGCAACGTCTAGTCAAACTCTTACTGTACGTTGCCTTTCCCTTCAGTTATTTTTGTTTTTACTTCCTTCTCTCTCCTGTCTCATCCCTGGGAACCCTACAAAACTGACTCCTATGTATAAGCCAGCTATTTCTTAGTTTCTTGTATTAGTGGCTTTTACCATAATTGCCCTTTTGTTTTTGTTTTTCCTGCCAGCTACTTCCTTCTTTTTTTTGCCAGCTTCTTTTTTTTTTTATTAATTTTAATGAAAGTTTACAGAGACAGGGTTTCCAGTCATTCATTGTTGCACTTTTCTCCCTGTCCACTCCCACCTCCCCAAATCTCTCTTCTCCTTGAAAAGAAAAACTCTTTCATTGTTATGCAATCCCTTCCCCAAGTTCACTCCACTGCACAGCCTTCACTCGGGACTTCTGTAATACAAGAATACCCATTCATATATCCCTCTTAAACAGTTGTCTCTCTCATCTGTTTCAAGCCTAACTGCCCTTTTGTGTCTGGTTTCATGGCTGTTGTGACTACTGTGAGCCGATTCTCCTCAGATCTCACGTCAAGCATTAGTCTGAGGCGAGAAGGGCAGGTAGCTGACAGCCCCAGCTGCAAACTTCAGATCCTCCACTAGGTTGGAGCAGAAGCCGCAGTCCCCTCACCAAACACTCACTCAGGTGTGGAATATCAAAAACTGGGGCACAGTTGTGTCTGCCCTGTGGTCACAGAGTCCTGTGGCCAATTGTTGCAACAGAAGTGCTTGCTGGCCCTGCTGAGACTTTCTCAGAGATGTAACCAATCCTCTTCACCTCCCTCTCAATTTCCAAAGGGATCAAGTATCAACAACTGACTGACCGGCTCACTGCCATGGAGTCGGAACCAACCACAGCTGGCCTCTCCAGCAGGTTTTCAGAGGCTATAAATTTCATTGGAGGAGATTGCTCAGCTGTCTTTCATGGAGCAGCTGATGGATTGGAACCAGCTGCCTTTGAGTTGGCAGTGCAACTCCCTACCCATTAGGCAAGGTGGCGTGAACAGTTAACAAGCTTGGCTGTCAGCAGAAAGGCTGATGGTGTGAGTGTTCCCAGAAGGATCTTGAAACAAAGGCCGCTGATCTAGTCCCCATGTGCACGGGTAGGATCAACACACAAAGGGTCACCAGGAGTCAGTCAACAAGCCGGCAACAGGTCAGTATTGTATACAAAAATGTGTACATTTCCTTCTTTTAACTAAGAAAAAGAAAAGTTGGTAAGTCAATGTTAAAAAAAAATGGCAACAGGTGTTAATTTTGTGTGTTTGTTAATTTTGTTTGTTCTTGTAGGAAAGAGTAAAAACATTGTCTGGTCTTGAGGTAAAGAGCATTTTCACACTTCTGAGTTAGGATTGTATAATATCCCACAAGGGCAGAATTCCTCCTTCTCTTTCCATTCGCCTCCACTTAAAAGCCAAAGACTTTCCACCATTAGGTTGAAAGACTTCCTTTGGGGAGATGCTTCTTGACAAAGGATTACTTCCCTGTTGCTTAAATTAGATAGAACTCTATTTAATTAAAATACACTCTTCTGCTGCCATATCCTAGACACAATTACCTTTTTATTAAGTTGCAGGGATACATCAGAACATATTGCAGTTATATATAATGTATATAATTAGAAATTGTGTTTGCCTTCTTTTATTAAAAATTAAGGTTTACTTTAGCACCAGTCTCTGTACTGGAGGATAAATATCTGAATCCGTTAAGTTCTATTTCACCGTCTCCTCCGTTATAACCACTGCCTTTCAGGGTGCCCAGTTTTACTCTTTTATTACAGTATTTCTTCTCTCAAATTTTAATTTAAAATCATCCTGATCTGGTCAAGGACTTAGCAGTCACGTTCTTTATGAGAATCCACTCTGTCCTTTACCAGGAATGCATTATTCAGATCCTGTACTGCTCAGTCTGGCCAGCAAGACGAATTGTAAATTTAAGGGCTAAATTATGTTCAGTGAAAGGACTGTAAATTCAAGACCTAAATTATGTTTGCAAGTCAAGAAACTCCATGATTGATGAGTTTATCATTTAAGGGTAATTTTACCAACCAAGAGAACTTTTTTTAAAAAAGTGACAAAATTCATATACTATAAAGCTGTACATAGATGAGAAAAATTGTCTGCTTGTGAAAAAACAACTGAGAAGATTTGCCTTCTGGGATAATACGGATGTTTCCAAGAAGCAAATAAAAGTTGAATGATAGTTAGTTAAACCTATTCCACTTGCCAGTTTTACATTAGAAACCTTTGGAACCTGTAATAAATTTTGGCCATGAGGATATTATTAAAGATATTCTGGCAGCCTCCAGGAGCAATCTAGTACTCTCCCAGATCAATATTAAAGTCCTGGGCGAGTCCGGAGCTATTCCTATGAGTGTGAACTCAAGCACATTCATATCCCTATATGTGAAGTATGACTATAGTCTCTCTTTATTAAGGTCTTCAAGTCCTCTACTGGAAAATATGGTTAGTTTTGCAGTTTACCTTTTGGTTATTGTGGTTCTTATATGCCCTCCAGTAAGAATAGCTGACCCTGTCCGTGGGTTTTCAGAAGCTGTAAATCACACAAGAAATTTCCCATCTTCCTTTTATAGGGCAGCGGGTGATTCTGAACCATCTGGTTTGGGGTTGGTGGTGTAACTCCTTATCCACTAAGCCATCAGAACTTCCTGGGTTAGATTGTTGTTGTTGTTATGTGCTGTTGAGTTGAAATCAACTCTTAGCTGATTACACCGGAGGGGATTGCCTGTCTTTATCCTGTGGAGCAGTTAGTGCCTTTGAAATTGGCAACATGCGTAACTCCTTACCACTAGGCCACCAGAGCTAGAGTATTAGTTTAGCTTTGAAAAAGTAAACAACCTAACCAATGTATTATGGATGAAAAGATTTAAAACAAAAAGCCACACAACAACAAAACCCTCAAACTCTGTGCCATCGAGTGCAAAGTGACTCATAACTGGCCTCCACTGGGTTTTCTAGACTGAAAAAGATCTGTTTTTCTACCGTAGAGCTGCTGATGGATTCAAATGACCAGAAAGGTGTGGGGTTTGGGGTTAGCAGCACAACTCCCTACTGATTCAACTCAAAAGTTGAGTCAGGACAACTCATAGCTGACCCTCCAGTAGATTTTTATCGATTGTAAATCACATTCTCCCACAGAGCACCTGGAGGATTTGAAGTGCATGCCTTTGGGTTGACATAGGCCACCAGAAAAGAATGGGTCTTAAATAAAATTCTCTGTTAGGTGAGCAACGTCCCTGGGGGTTTAAAGTCCAGGACAGGACATGGCAGCAGACGGTGGCTTAACTAACAGTAAGGGAGCAATGGTGGGGTGATCTAAAGGAAGTTGCACTACTCACCCCAAAAATGGTGCTTCCCTGGTGGTCCAAATTCACCAGTGGTTCCAGGAAAGAGAGATGGACTTTCTCCCCCCAGGCAGCTTATAGTGTCCAGAAGCTTACTCAAGGGTTAATAAGAAAGCAGTTCCGACTTGAAGGCAGTGAGGTAGGTTTTTGTGTGTTTCTTTGCTTTTCAACTGTTAATAATAAGGAGTGGAAAAGCGAAACTGCAAGAATTGCTGGACAAAGCTGATTTTGTATCTGATCTGACAGCTTCGAGTTATACAGAAAAGACATTGTGTGAGGAAAAATGAGATTTTGCGTCCTTTCACAAAATGTATGTTTTCTAAGAAATAACACAATTAGGGGGGAAGTAATGAGATGTCAATAACCAACAGTATTTTTTTCAACAAAGTATATTAAAAAGATTTTTAAAAAGAAAAAATATTTTAAAAAATATTAAAAGGATTGGTTCATTTGGAAAAGTATTTTCATTTCATTTCCTTAACCTCTCTCGTTGGGATGTAATTTCTGGGGTCTGACCAGACTAATATTTAAAGGTCATATTATTATTTAAATTTCTGAGATCTAAGATTGGAATTTCCAAGTAAAGGGCAGCAGAATATCCACTATGGTACACAAACTGGAAGTTTCCATGCATCTGTGTTTTCAAATTGCATTGCAGACTACGAGACGGAATAGAGAAAGCTAATCCAAACTTACAGCAAAAACCCAGGGTCAGATGTGCTGATAAACTAGACTCATCTGGTCTCTAGAAGCCAAAAATCAAAGCCCCTTGAGATCAGAAGGTAATGATTAGAGTCAGAAAACAAAGTTCACACAAGTCAGAGCAAAACAAAGGATTAGAAATTGATTCAACAAATATACAATAGGCATAATGAACAAATGTCTTTCAGGTGCCACAGATACAAAGGTGAACAGCGAAGAGAGAGGTATGCGGAAAGTCAAGGGGCAAGGAGGAGCTGTGAACCAAAACCTTGTGAACAGAACAGGTTTCCTGAAGAAGACCCCTTTGCTTAATTCAAGTTATCCAGGTAATAAAGAATATTCTATGTGAAGGGTATAATAATATACACAACCAGTTCAGGAAGCTCCACAAACAGCTCAGTGTAAGAACTCTTGAGAGATGCAGCTGTGGAGGCATGAGGAGGCGATGGC